GCACGTGCATTTCTTCCTGAGCTGGGTCAAGGTTGGGCTGCTAAGCCCGCAGAAGCTGGGTGAGGAGGTGATACAGTGCCCTTGTGTGTGTGTGGGGGGGGGTGGGCAGAAGGTTTCCAGCCAGGTGGCCCCAGAGGTTGGGGTGGAGGGGCCGGACCAGGAATGGTGTGAATCTGCCTGCCGGTCTTTGTGGACGTGGTGACGCTGACGGATGAGCAGTGCTTCACCCTCACGGGGCTGCGTCCAACAAGCCTCTCTGCTTTTCCTCAGGTGTATGTGCTCAAGAGGCCTTACGTGGATGAGTTCCTGAGACGAATGGGGGAGCTCTTTGAATGTGTTCTCTTCACTGCCAGCCTGGCCAAGGTACCTGAGGGCGGGAGGGAAGTCAGGCGCCAAGAGCGGCTGTGGCAGCCGCAGGGCGGGGGTGTCCCACAGCCCCTTGCTGGGCCACGGGAAGCCACAGTGGTGGGGGCGGGGGGGAGCCAGGACTGCATCTGAGCAAAAGCACCTTCTCTTCTAGTATGCCGACCCAGTGACGGACCTGCTGGACAGGTGCGGGGTGTTCCGGGCCCGCCTGTTCCGGGAGTCCTGTGTGTTCCACCAAGGCTGCTATGTCAAGGACCTCAGCCGCCTGGGAAGGGATCTGAGGAAAACCCTCATTCTGGACAACTCTCCTGCTTCTTACATCTTCCACCCAGAAAACGCAGTGAGTGGTCCGGACACAGCCACACCGCAGGGACTGGGGAGCCCCAGTCCCGGGCAGAGGGGAGAGGGAGTGGGCATCGGAAGCCCGGGCTTCTCCAGAGGAGCATGGCACCCAGGTGTACCCAGCCAGCTTCCTGGGGCTTTGGGGCAAGGGAGGGAGGAACTGGCAGGAGATTTACGCTGCCTCTTCCCTGCCCTAGGTGCCCGTGCAGTCTTGGTTTGATGACATGGCAGACACTGAGTTGCTGAACCTAATCCCAATCTTTGAGGAGTTGAGCGGAGCAGAGGATGTCTACACCAGCCTCGGGCAGCTGCGGGCCCCTTAGCCTTCCCTGCTTCCGAGCAATGGCCATCCCAGTAGGGGACTTTCCTACACTGTGCCTTTATGACCAGCCTGACAGAGCGGAAGCTGGAGCATCTCACCAAACGGGGCCTGGGAATAGAAGTGGTTGGAAAGAGCTTTAGGACAGGATAGATGCCAAGTGGGCACGTCCCAGACCGACGGCACCTAGAGCTGCCTGCTCCCTGAGTTGGGCTCCCAGATGTGAGTGTGTGTGTGTCTGTGTCTGTGTGTGTCTGTGTGTATATGTGTGTCTCCCCTTGAACTGTGGCCCCGGGATGGAAGTGTTTCATGTTGAGGGAGAAACTGAAAGATGAAGACTCCCGGAGTTAGTCTGTCTCCTGTCCGGTCACCCTGGGAGCCGCTGAGCTCGATAGGGATGAAGACGATTGAAGGCTTTTGCTGCCAAACCCAGCGCCTTTCCTCAGTGTTGTGAGGCTCGTGCCAAGGAGAAAGGGAGTCCAAGGCTGCCGTCAGGTGTCCCAGGCACACACCTTTCTGAAACCTTTCTCCAGCCAGCTTTCTGCATACAGAAAGACAACATTTCTGGAAAGATGAAAGCTTGTTTCCAGAACCGGTAGCCCCAGTGGCCATCACGTCCTGTGGTCCGAGGGCTGCGCTCGCCTCCAGCCAAGTGCCTGGCACGGGCCCTTTCTGTGTCTCCCCAAGGCTCGGGCTCCGGGCCTGCCTTCCTCACCACCCAGCCATAGTCTTGAACCTGTGGGGAAGGAGGTCTTCTCCCTGCCCTGGAAGAGGACAGATAACTGATTTCCGTTCTTCCGACTCTGTTTTAAAATTCTCTTTCTAAACATGGAGTGTTGGGCCTGTTTTGTTTCTGACAGAGCTGCAGCCCTGGGCCTGTGATGAATGTGGGAGGCTCTGGGGGTGCAGGGAGGAGGAAGACCCCCCCCCCCCCAAGCATGAATGTGTGTGTCCCCTTGGCTTGTAGATCAGCTGAGTATGGGACTGCGTCCCTAAGTCTGTGCTTCAGGGATTCTCTGCTGGTGCTGGTGCGAGGGCTTGTGTTCCAAAGTCCGGGAAGGGCGCTCCCCGCCCGGCCCCTCCTACTTCTTGGGCAGGGCTCTTTCCCGTTGTGTCTTCCCCCGGGCCTGGCCTGTGCCTCTCTCTGTCTACTCCTGTCTTCCTCCCTCCTGGCTGTTGCTTTTTTTCCTCCGGGGCCTCAGAGGCACTCCTGCTTTCCCTGGGCTGAGGGGAACGGGCGTTGTCGTCATTTCATTTGCCAGCATAATGCACGTGCCGCTTGCTTCTCGCATCAGGTGTGAGTGAGCCCTTGACACACCTGCACTTTGCTCCCCCCCCTCCCGCCCGGCTTTCAGACTTTCTCAGTAGTGAATGCTTTAAAAGACAAAAAGTAGCCACAAAATGGATGTTTCCTGAGGATGGAAAACAAAAGAGGAAGGAAGTACTGCTGGAATTGGGAGCACAAGGGGTTCCCCTCAGGAGCTGAGCCCCACCTCAGCATCACTGCCTTAATCACGGCCTCCCCTCCCTTCTCCTTCTAGGGCAGGAGAGAGTTCCTCTCCCCTCCCCAGTTCTGTTTTCCCTGGAGGCAGGTGTCACAGAGCCTTTGTGAGTTGCTTCAGGTGTGAGGACACCACCCCCGTCCCCGCCCCCCCCCCCCACTCCCCACTCAGGACTCCTAGCCCTGTTCCCCTTTGCAGTGTCCACACTGGATCCACACTGGGTCCGGCCTGAGGAATTGACGAGTTTTGAGCAAAGCGGGCGGTAGGGCAGCAGCTTGGTGTCCTGAGTGGCACTGGGCTGACGAGTGTCTTTCTCCAGCATTGTGTGTTACCACCTCCCCTCCTCGTCCCGAGGCCAAAGGGCCTGGTCTTTCCCTTTGGTGTCACAGAAGTGGAACAGAGGTCCCCAAAGCTCGTGTGGCCCTTTCCGCCAGTATCCTTCTCCGGGGCCCCCGGGGTCCTGCAAGCAGGGGAAGAGGGCTCCGGTGCTAGCCAGGGAGGGGTACCTCCTGAAGGAAGATGGGAGCTTCTGATTCTAAGGCCCTGGCTCGGCCTCTACCCTAATGCCTTGGGGTGTCTCTCCCAAGCCCCACCCTAAGTGTTAGCCCCTGGGCCACATCTGCCATCTGGGCCCAGCCAAGCTTTTCTGACTAAGCAATAAGAGGCTCTAAGCTGATCCAGTTCTTAGGTCCCTCTCTGCCCTCCTTTGGGTCTCCATGTTTCTCCAGGTGAAGGAAGAGCCTGTGCCTCCCCCTTTCCTACCAGGCCTATCCAAATGCCCCGAGTGTGACTCATGACCAGAGCCCCCGGTTAGCTTGGTGAGGGGTGTCCCTGCTGCTTCTATGTGAAGCCCTGCCCACCTGCAGTTCCTCAACAGAAATCCCGTATTCCCACTGTCCCCTTTCTCCTGCCGTCTGCAGAGAAGCAGCTCAGCCAAATAAGCCTAAACAGGGTCCGTCCGTGTGGACCAGAGCCAACCTGAAGTCCTTTGCTGTCTGGCTTCCAGTTCCACAGTGAGTTAGGGGCAAGTGATGATTGCAAAACTCGCTCCTTAGAGGAATCAGGCCAGACTCCATTTTGGAGGAGGGCAGGATTGGGAGGGAGCCAGTTCAGCCCAGGATGTGTTCTGGGGCTTCCCAGCAGCCCTTCCTGTCCGAGACTGTCTTCAGGAGGCAGTCGGCTGCTGTGCCTGGTCAGCCCCCGTCCAAGCCATGCCAGGAACCTGCCCAACTGCCAGGGTCAGTTCTTTAAGGTGCCTCTTCAGGGACACACTGTGTCTCTCTGATTGGGCTTCTAAATCAAAAGCCTGATGTTCGTGTCCCTCTCATAGGGGGAGCTTTGGACACAGGACCAGTCTGGAAACGGTCAAGGTAAGAGTTGTCACTCTGCACATTGTAGAGGGGACGCTCTGTAGGCCCAGGGGTCCCTTACTATAAAGAGGTTGAGTACATTTGCCTTCAGTTAACCTGGGACCTTCCGTTTAGTTCCTCCTGCCTCCCAAAGATTTTGACCATTTTGTAAACGTATAAACTCACCTCTATAAACAGTGGCCCAGAAGCATCTTTGTGCTAAAAGCATGGGAAGTGTAGAAAGGCAGTCATTCCCTGGGAAATGGATCCCATTTAAATCTGCTCCCCCTACCCTGTTCCTGAGGCCTCCTTCAGTAGGGCAGCCCCCAGAAAAGGCTGTCCTCCCTCCCATTCCCAGCCAGGCCAAGTGTCTGTGGAAGGTAAGCCTATTTCCCCCTTTCAGGTCGTCAATCGGTTACCACTCTGTTCCTCAGTCATTTTTTGTAAAATGGAGTTCGTTTTATCTTTCTCTTTTTTAAAATACCAATAAATATTTGCATTCGAGCAGGGGAGGGAAGGCGGAGGTCTGACCCACTGTCCCGTGCCCGCCGTAGGGGTGGGCCCCAGAGCAGACCCTCTTTGGGCCCCTTGAGCTTTGCGTATAGTATCCCAAGTTTGACACATTCCAGGTCATGCCACTTTCCCCCTCAAGATGCCATTTGGAGGGCAGGGCGTCTGCTTCCCACTGTGACTGGGCTATGGGACTCTGACTACCTTGCTTACAGATTCATGGTTTGATAAATTTGTTGTATTCAAAAACTTGAAATGTAGGACGCCATTAAGTGTCTGTTTATATTTTTGGAATATTTGTATTACTTACAATTAATAAAAGCGGGTTTTAAAAAAACCCATCCAGGAATGGGAGCTGCTTCTTGACCTTGCTGTTACTCATTTGGGCACTTCGCAGGCACACTCGTCTTGCCTTGCAGCCCCTTCTGTCACGACGAAGCTGGCGCACCCAGGCTGGCCAAGCGGCTGCCTCCGGCTGGGAGACCAGCTGCAGACTCAGCACTGGGCTTCTGCTCAAGGTTACAGAAGTCGGGCTGCATTAGTTCTTTCTTGGCCCCTGTTTGGAACCAACTCCATTGCCATCCAGGTGCTTAATAATCATACACTTGGTGTCCTATCGACTTCTGAGGGCGAACTGGAAGCCCCGAGGGACTGGGAGTCATCACTCTCCCATGTTCCTTACTGATGCTCCCAAAGCGGGATCCCTAGAACTTGGGAGTCCAGCATGGTTCTTGGCACATAATAGGCACTCCAATAATGTTTGGACCCCAAAGGAGACCCTAAGAAGCAAAACAGGATGACCTGATCACCCCTCTCCTAGACTTCCCTCCCTCTGAGAAATGCCCAGAAGCTTCTCGGGGAGGCATTTGCTAGCCTGGACATCACAGGCACTCAGGGGGCAGCTCTGGCCCCTGCCTTCTGTCATCAGCATAATGCATCCATATCTACAATATGGCGAATTTCATATCCTCCCACCCTCTTCCCTGCATTATTGATGGGTGATGCACTTTAAAAAAAAAAAATCAATTAGATCAGGGCGTGGAGCTGGAGTTAAAAGAGAAAAGAAGCCTTTAAAAGTCTGCACTTCTTTCTGCTGTTTTGAATAGGAACAGATAAAGCTTCCCCTCTGGTTTGAATAAGTCAAGCCCAGGGCTAGGTTGGCGGTGATTGGCCAGGACTGGGAAAATGAGGTTAAGATGCAAACACAAGCAAATATAAGGCAGTGGTCTGTGCAGCCATTACTAGGCTAAGGCAGCGGAACCTGGCACCTTCTGCTTTGGGTTGGTTCTCCGGAACTGCTGCTACTTTCTCGCCAGAAAACCAGGAAGACCGGTGGGGGAGAAGGCAAGGTAAGGTCTATTTGGTGTGTGGGTGTCCATCAGCAGAGCAATCCTACTGAGCAAGGAAGAAACGAAGGGAAGAGGAGATCGACATTTCTGTGCCTTTGTCTTCTTGGATGAGGCTCTTAAAGGATTAAACCAGGAGTTTGTAACGAGTTGTGCAAACTTCCTGCTGCGAAGTTAAGGCCCTTGTTAGAAACCACTGAACAGATAGAGCACTGTTTTCAAAAGCTGGGAAGTGTGGAGACTACCCCTTTCACACGTCTCTTGGAAAGGCGGCGTGGGCCAAGGCGGAGGTTAGAACTGCTTCCTCTGCTTGGGCTCCATTCACAGGGGGATCTGTGAGAGTTAAGGGCCGCTGGCTTTTAGCCTGGGCCTCCAAAACTGCACCCCACCCCAAGGGTTTCTGCAGGGGCCTCAAAAGTCCTGAATTAATAAGGACTTGGAGAAGAGCGAGGGAGAGATTGAGCTTTGGGGGACTTTGATGCCACAGCTGCCATCAACTTTTCTGGGTGTCCCAGGGAGGCAGGAAGTCCCTTCCTTGAGCATGTCCTCTCCTTAAGTGGGGGGACCTTGGCCCAGTGAGCTCCTTCCCTGTTGCTAAGTCCCTGCTGGGAAACGGGACTGCTTTTGACCTCTCAGACTCACAGCCCTGATGAATGCCGATTCTACCAGGTGGAAGCTTGACTATTTTCAACGAATGAATTCACTGGCCCTTGTTCCCTTCCCCTATTTGGGTCATGGCGTTTGCCTTTAATGAATGAAATCTAGGGTCTGAAGAGAACTTGAACAAATATTTCCTGGCAGTTCTGAGCAGCACCAGGTAGGGTGGGGCAGCACAAGTTATCCAATGAAATCCTCAGACGCCGGCTGCTCCGGGTCTGTGCCCTGCTTTAGTCTCGCTCCAGCAGTACACAAATGGAGTCTGGGTTTTTTGTTGTTTTTTGTTTTTGTTTCTTCTGCGCTTTTTGCCAAAGTCCACACACTACATAATGGCACGAGCTCTCCAAACCTGGCTTCATCCACCAAGGCTCAAGGATAGAATGGGCAGACATGCTCTTAACAAGCACAGTATGCCTCCAAGTAGCAAAACTCCATACGGCCCTTTCTGGGTGGGTTGTTTCATGTTTTGTTTTTTGTTTCTGTTTTTATTTTGTTGGGTTTTTTTGTTTTGTTTTGTTTTGGTTTGTTTTTTTTTGTTTCTGTAAATCCATCAAGCACATCTTTTTTCCTTTGCCTCTTGAGAGCATTCGTCAGTTATCCGTATCGGAATGCAAGCTCCTTGAGAGCAAGAACCAGACAACAGGCAGGCATTTTATTTATACAAAGCCCCTACGTGACCATGCATGTGTGTAGGTACTTGATAACCCTGGACACGCCCTGAATACAGATGGTGGGGCACCGGACTTCTCTTCACCACTTCCCTCTCCCCACCCTGCCTCGTGGGCAGCCACTGAACCACTGGCTCCTGTGGATCTGTGTGAGAGGGGGAAGGAGAGCATCAGCCCCCAGGAAGACCTGGCCACCCAGCCTTTCCCTGCTGGCTCCCTGAACTCTGTCCCCCCTCTCCCCTCCCAGGCTCTGCCATTTTACTTTCCCTCTTCTTCGAGGCCCAGGGAACATATTAGTCATCAGACAAAAAGCTGTTCAAGTTTTAGGATAGTTTACTTAGAAAAGTCTGGAAAGTAAAAGCCCAATGAGAAAGAGAGTTGACCCCGCAGAGGACCTGGCAAGCAGGACCTCTGGAAAGAGCTGGAAGGAATGAGTGAGAGAAGGCAGCCCAGCTTGGAAATATTCCGACGTAAGCTTTTCTCCCCGTGAGCCACTGAAGGAAGGTGCATTTAGGAAGGGTTACACGACATCGAAGTGACTAAAAAGCACAGGCTTTAGGGTCAGATACGGATTTCGCTCTAGTGTGTGACCCTAGGCAAATTATTTAACCTCTCTGAACCTCAACTTGCCTGCAATGTAAGATAAAATATACTCCGTTTATAAGAATTAAGTGACATAACGTGAGCCAACACCTTGGCTTGACATATTTATGATCCCTTCAGTAAATGACCGTGACTCCGACCAGAGCTCTTGACAAGGGAAGTGGCAAGGGGGGAGCAGACCTTCTGGGTGGGGACCCCCAGACCAGCCAGGCTTCCCTCG